CAGGTGGTGTTCAGCTTTGAACTTGGTCCACATGCCCCCCGAAGGAGAAGGGAAGGTATAGTTCAGTCTAAACAAGAAGAGTAGGGGAAAAGGAAAGAAAGAAAAAAAAAATCCCTGTTCTTGAAGTTTCGCGTTGGCCAGGAGCAAGGCAGAGCGGGCAATGTGACAGTGACTGCCGTCGAAGGCTGTTGAGAGCGTATGTTATTCAGCTGCCGAGCCATTCAGCTTCTAAGATCGTGCCCAGAAGATTGTTTTGCGGCTGGAAAAGAAAGGAGCCTTTCAGCCCCTCTCGTTTGGCCTGCGCTACAGTTTTTGCTGAGCAGCCTTTTTGGAGTTTCCTCTTGGCGTGATTGGTTTATGCTGTCCAGATGTGCACAGTGTGACGGTTTTGTGTTCTGGCTCTCCAGATGTGCACAGACAGGAAAATGAGCTCTGGCCAGGCGGGGGTGGGGGGGGGCTGTCCCTGCAGCCCACGGGAGTCCGCACAGCCCACAAAGCGGTCGTTGTGCAGGGATCACAAAGCTTAGGGTCTGGAAAAGAGCTTGCAGTTCTCCCAATTTACCCTCCTGACTCGACCACTCCACGGCTCAGGGAGTTGGGACCTGCTGGCTGCTGGTGGATCACCTGCAGCTGGGAGCAGACGAGACCGGAGCCTCGCCAGAGCTACACGAGGGCTGTACCGGTCCGCACGTCTGTTTCATCACTGTGTGCACCTGGCTGTCTCCTAGGTGCTTGGGACCCACAGGGGAACAAAGATTCCTAGCTTGTTCTGCCAGGTCAGATGTGGGATAACAAATGAACCATCAGCACAAAGAATGAGTACATTGTATGGTAGGTTAGAGGGTAGGAATTGCTGTCCGAAGACAAAAAAGGAAGATAGACTGAGTTGGGAAGGGGAGTGCGGGGGTGGTGACAAGGGGATGAGGGTGGATGTCATGGAGAAGGAGGTGATCTTAGTTATCTATCACCGTGTAACAAAACAGCTCAAAGTTTGGTGGCTCAACCCAGTAAACATTATCTCACAGTTTTTGTGGGTCAGGAATCAGAGAATGGCTTTGCTGAGTGTTCCTTGCTCAGGGTCT